TGTGTCTGCCTCTGACTCCTCCGCCTGAATGATTGTGTCCCAGTTTATACCTTGGTCAGCTGAGCAAGAACTCATGCTCCTTTGGATCTATTGTGAGTCATCTTAATAAATTGGATTTCCACTGTGCCCTTCTTGGCGGCTGAGTTCAAACAGGGTTTTTGATATGAAACTGTGCAGCTGGACTCCTTTTTCATAGGCAGCTAAATGGGAAATAGCTCTCACTTATTACTGGCCAGGGTCAGGTTTGAGTAAGTGAATCGGAGCTGAATAGCTTTATCCATTTATAAACATTGTGATATAACTGAATTTTATTTCAGTTGGTGACCATGCAAGCAGAAGCCTAGGCCAGAAATGTATGTAAGGTTTACTAATTTCTACAGTTATTGCTACCCAGTCTAGTTGTTCAGCCTTTGTCATTCAACATTAACTAGAAAATTAGGAGTGCATCAGTAGGATGTTTTTAAATGCTGGGAAATGTTTATTTACAAATGTTCTCATTGATTCAGATTGCATTAATAACTAAATCAAGACCAGGGTATTAACTATCTGTTTGCAATCCGGATGCAAGTCAAGGCTAGGAGACTACTATGGAAAAGTCTGATTTGTGCTACAGTGTTTGTGCCAGATAATACTGAAGCCAGAGTAGAATATGCTTTATAGATTTAGAGGTTGTTCTGTTTGTGAGATATGTTTGCATGGCAAGTTATCCTGAATCAATGACATGTTCCTGCTTTGTTTTTATTGTTTTAAGCTTGTATTTCAGCTTTTGAACTATGTGATTAATTTAGCATAGTTATGTAAAATTGATTGTTTTCTGTGGATATTATTAACTTCAGAGAGCAATTAGATTTTTACAGAATGTTCCCTTTCCCTTCCCCTGCCTCTTAAATAGCATTGTTATTATTATTTTCCCTCTAGAGTTAGGAAGAGACGTTTTGAGGTATGGTAAATGATTTGGAGATTTAAAGGGTTTTTTTTTTTTGGTAGGTCTGTTCATAAATTGCTTTACAGTTACTACTTGCAAAAATAAAGTTGAAATAATCATTGATTCTTGCAGGCTATTCTTATTCCTTTTGCAGAAAGGCACACCCATTATAAATAACATAATTGTGGTCTTCTTTATTCTTTGTAGACTTAACACAAAAGAAAAAACTCACATGAATTAAAGCTAGAAAGGGAAGCCAACCTTAGCTTCTGGACTGCAACACTGCCTTTGGACACAGCTACTTTCAAGCCATAGGCAAACAGCTTTGGAGAAAATGGGTTATTTAAACAAAATCCCCATGCCAAAATAAGGTCTTACATCAGTAACATAGCAACTGTAGGTACAAACTCACATTGGCCTAGAAAAATGGCAAGAAAATAAGCCATTAACATGCAAAGGGACTTGTTCATTTCCAATATAATAATGTTGTTTTACCCAATTATAAAAAGGAAGAACTGACTGATTGTGTGATGTTAGCTCAACTTATTGCAACTAAAAAATCACAATGATTACTGCCACTTGCACAAGTAAAACATAACATCACTTAAGTGGTAGCATTTACAGTTATATAATTTAGCTAACATTTAAGAAATGTATTAACTAAAATGATTAAATGATGGTAACAGATGACTTATTATTTCAGTGAACTTAGTCATACAGTTGGGGTATTTCAATTAAAAGAAACTGTAAGAAAGATGCAGGCAAAACACGTGGTTTGGCTCTTGAATCTTATAAACTGAAGTAAATACTCTTCATGCAGTAAAACATTTTGGAAACTGAATTCATCTTTAAGAGGAAATGAAATCAGGATGCCTTTGTTACCTAAGTATGAATTATTGTTGGAAAGTGTGGATACTTCAGGTCAGTTTTTATTGACTAGGACTGATGATAGCAGTAGAATAACTCCCACTGTTTTTTTCTTCAGATGTTTTCCTTTAGTACTTTAGAAGATAGAGCCCATTCCTAAAACTGCTGGACACAGCTCTTACTCCTGGAAGTGAAATAGTCCCATTGGATATTAATCAATAGTACTCTTCATCTATTACACTGGAGTCTCTTCTGTTTGAAGGCAAACCTATTAATTTCAGTGCATAGTAATGGTAACTAAGTAGGCTATCCAGTGTGTTTTATGTTCTTATGATTAGAATAAAACTGCTTAAAAAGACAGTCCCCATTCAGTAAATTCCAGAATTATACCTTTGTCAGTCAAACTACAAACTGTCTTGAGACTGCACTGAAATATCTTTTTTCTATTTATTGGAAAAAAGGAATACTCACTACATAACATTGTTAAGATTCAGAGCTTTAAATTGCAAAATTCTGAGAAATTCAAAGCTTTTGTTATACATTGTAATTATAACTTTCGCTACGTATGTCAGCATACCAGGTATGGAGAGGTCATCTTTTGGGCCTTTCTAATCTTGAGCTGGAGAAGTCCCCAGAGTAACTCACACAGCTCTTGTGACTTTAACTTCAGCACCCTGAGATCCAGAAATGCTGCAGGCTAGACAGTCTCCTGTACCTTCCACTCCCAAAGCCTGAGATATCTGACTGGAAGTGGGCCCTTTTAGAGTTCTTTTACCTTGCTTGGCCCCTTCTACCTAGCATTAAACCAATGACTAGATTTTTAAAAGAACTCAGTATTCAATACAGCAAAGCAATTAGAAAATTTGGACCCAATTGTAAAAGTTTAGCACTCATAGTTTCATAGTTTCATAGTAGCTAGAGTCAGGAGGGACCTGATGAGATCATCTAGCCTGACCCCCTGCCACAGGCAGGAATGAATGCTGGGTTTGCAAGACCCCAGACAGGTGATCATCCAACCTCCTCTTGAATTTGCCCAAGGTAGGGGTGAGGACCGCTTCCTTGGGAAGTTGGTTCCATATTTTGGACGCCCTGACTGTAAAATATTGCCTTCTGATCTATCTCTCTCATTCTGTACCTTATACTGTATATGGAATCAAATAAGTGCAGCGTAGTTACAGTAAGAACTATAACTTTTCAGTTAATGGCTTGCACACATTTAAATCCTCTGTTATAATGAAACACTAACAGAAATCTGGTACTGAATTTCTTTGCTTTCTGGAAAGAGAAGAACCCATATGCAACTCAAAGGATATTGCATCAAAAAACAAGAAGCTTGTTTATACAAAGTGTGAGTTTGAAATGCTTTGTCAGATGAATTTACAACTCTTTTCCCCTTTGGTAGTCCCTATTCTAGAGTTGGCCAGAATCAAACCCTTTGTTTTACAGTTTTTAAAATGCTACCTTTCCTACGGTACCTTAGTACAGCAGTTGCAGTGCATAACTCTGTGACTTTGGTTACCCCTAATCCTAGTCTGGCTGCATTTTATTCCTTCATTGGGAATTAACATTCTGTTTCCTTGCTGATTCATTCTCTGTACTTAACTGACTACTGTGCGAATGGACTGTAAAGCTTTACAAATTGGAGGAGATGCTTGCAGAAATAATTTTTGCCATTGCAAGGGATTTCCTCTTCATACGTATGTACACCAGCTTCATAAACTCTTGGGCATACTGGATAAACTGTCTAGAAATGGGCTCCCAAGGCTGTGTCCCAGGTCTGGATAATTTTTGCTCATTAGTCGTGCCACCTCCTCACAAACTAATTTAGCTTCCTTCTTGCAGCAGATTAAAACTATGTGGAGAGGGGACTGTGTAAAGTTCTGCAGGGAGAGGAGATGGTGTTTGTTCCACTTCTCTTATCTCCTCCCATGTGAATGACAACAACCCAGCCTGTAGATGAAGAGTGTATGTGACTTGAGCAGTATTCTCACATTTGTGTATAACTATGCAGTGTACACGTACTTTTTAGATAAAGGGACTAATTATATGGTATAGATAGAGAACTGGGAAACCATTTCAACAGTGGGTCAGGTGCAAAGCTCTTGTTTCTGTTTGTCATCTCACTTTGAAGGTATGTTTTATGTAGGGTGTCATAGTTTATTGTATCTTTTATGCCTTTTGAAGCTCTCTAGTAGATTGCTCAGAATATAACATCCCAGTGCTCTTTCACTAGTATCTACAAATATTCTATGTACCATTTTTTTTCTCCTGCATATTCACCGCATCTCAGGTTTTCTCAAAGAGAATATATGCTTGTTATGTTGTGACCTGAAATGATTTCAGAACTCAAGAGCTTAGATGAGGGCATTCTTACAGATGATTTTCTTTGATTACATTACTTGATTTTTCTCACCATTGCCTGCTGGGATTTACAATCAACTGTCAGTGTCGGGCTCTTTTCCTGATTGATCATGAACCTGATTCTCGTCTCACTTACATCCATTTTATGCTTATATAACTTGTTCCAGTGAATTCATTCTGAGTAGGTACAGCTGCCAGTAGGAGCTGAAAAGTAAACCTTGGGTGTGTGTACATGAGAAGCTGATTGCACAGTAGTCTGATACTACTGCGCAGTTGTATCATGTGGCAAAAACCATGATGCAATGCTACTGTGCAGTAGTGTCACAAAAAAGGCATTCGCTGGCATTGAACATTTCTTTAGTATTTGTTTATACAGGTACTAAAGAAGTGCTCAATAACCACCGTGCAGTAGCATCTCATATAGACACAACCCTTGTGTCTGTAAATCTAATTTATAGCCCTTGCAGGAGAGAGGTACAGGGAAAAGAGGCTTAACTGAACTTTTCACCTATATGGATGGACATTATGGAGCTGACAGGCATGTGGTTTTTCTGGCATGGGTTATATGGTGACTACACTGTAGTAAAATAGATGTCCTTACATGACTGCTACACCTGTGAAAATCACAGGTCAAAATTATCAAAGCCTAAAAATATTCTATATCCAATCAAACACCCAGACAAATTAATCCAACAAAATATTTATTTTGCAGTACATTATCCTGTCAATTTTGGTCAGTGTCTGAATGGTGTATATTTCGCACATCTTCAATGTCAGTGGAAGCTTTATAAATGTGTCAAGTCAGAAGAAATGTGTTTTAACATTTGTTGTGCTCTTCCTTTACCAGGCTGGAATGATAAGAACTGATAAGGATGAATATTTCATCGAACCTTTGGAAAAAGGCAAGCAAATGGAGGAAGAGAAGGGTAGAATTCATGTGGTCTACAGGAGATCAGCTGTAACACAAGATTCCAGTGATGTGCTTCAAGACTTCCGAACAGAAGGTACAGCACATGTCTATGGTGGTTTAGGAAGTTATTTCAGATGGCTTCAACATATATTAGTTTTTGGAAAAGGCTGTTTGAAATATAGAGTTGAAGGCGTTTGAAATATAAAGAGTTTCAAATGTTTTGTTGAAGTCCCCCATCAAATAGAGGTATATATTTTTTCTAATAGCAGTTATTGTATGTGTGAGAGCAGAAGCTGGCCATATGATTTTGTTATTTTTAGGAATGTTGTAATATGATTGGCTTTTTCAGAAGCCTTATCCTATTCTCCTTAAAGTCAGTGGCAAAACTCCTGTTAATATCAGTGATGGCAGGATTGTGCTTTTCATAATTGGGTAAAGAATTGTGAGACATGGAAACAGAAATGCCTGCTCATGTGAGTGTAACATAAAAACACCATTATTAAGGTGAAATAATCTATAAAACTTTTGGGTTGGTTTCTCTTCCCAGGGATAATGTGGAAATGGCTAAGACTTTTACTGTAGTGACTTTAATGATCTCAATTCAAAATAATTGTCTGATAGGGTGTGTTAATGTAGCCAAGAGTTGCCCTCTGTTTTAAAGCCAATGTGGTCGGTCCATCTGAAAATAATTATTTTGCAGTCTTATCTGTTAGACCTTAGATGTTTTTTTTCCTCGTTTTTGCAAATGATTGAGTCATCAAAATTCTGATGAACAAACAACTTTTTTCAAATAAAACCAGAAACACTCAACACAGGCTGGCCGATTCTGAAAAAGCTTCTCCCCTCATCTCCCGAAGGCAGAAAAAAACTTCTTGTGATATTAGTGAGTCATCCAAACCTGGGTATAGACATCAGGATTTAGGGATTGTGTCTCTTTATAATTAGAAAGGAGGTGCAGAGCCTGAATATTTTGTTATGGACTTTATCACAGTGTTGTAAAAGTCAAGGATCTCCATTCTGTTGAACTTTCTATAATGATATATGTATACATGGGGAGAGTTGGGCATAGGGTGGTCTCAAATAGCCGCTATTGAAATCTTCAAGAGATGGACATTTTCATTTTGACGTTACAACTTATGTGTTACAGGGGAGGGGAACAAATTTTTTGTATTCAGTGCCCTGCCTTTTCTCTCTACCTACTAGGCTTCAGGATACTCAGTATAAATTCTACATTTCTCTTTAGCCCAATGTTGAGAACTTTGACTATGATGGTTTCATCTATTTTGTCATGATTTTGTTCACAAATTGACATCAGGTTAGGCCAGTTCTCAATATATCGCTTAAAACAGTCCACTACCGAGTTCCATCGCATATCTTGTGGGAGGATTAGTTTGGTTCCTCCTTTCTTTAGAGCAGCTGCTGCAAAGTGGTTGTTACGGAAGTATTTTGCAATTTCAGCAACATTAGCCTTTATTTCTGGAACACTGAAGTCTTTGGCTAAGAGGTAAATCAAATGAGTGCTGCAGCCATATATTATTAGCTTGGGGCTTTCTTCACTTTCTTCTGTATTTTTTCTCATTGATACATTTGCAGACAAAGCTATGTACTAGACATTTGAATTTTGTTTCAGTTTGTTATAGCTTTTACTGCTACTTCTTGTAAGAATTGTACTGTGTGTGCATTTCCTGATGTATGAATTGTTCCTGTAAGGTAGACAGTCCCTTCTTCTGTTGTCACACAAGCGCATTTTCCTGGATCATTGTGGACATTGCTCCACGCATCAACACTCAGATTACCAATTTTCCCCTCTAAACTATTTGCACACTGTTCAATTTCTTTCTCATACACTTTATCCAGCAGTTTTCCTGCTGTATCTTCTCTGTTAAGTGATTGTATCCTGGCTGTAATGACTGAACCACGTCAATGAAGTATATGTTCTCAACCATATGTAAAGGAGAGTTTTGTTACATAAACAAACTGAATATTTTTTTTCATCAACTACCTCCTGCTGTAATCTGCCAGTTCTTATTACAAATTTATCTATGGTTGTTTCTGGATGATGGATATTTTTTTTTCTTTTGCTACATAGGTTATATACTGCATTATACTACATGGGCGACTGGTGCCACCTTAGTCAAGTGGGGCATGTCCCTCCCTCCCCCAGCAACCAGGGGGAGGATCGCCCTGCGGCCAATCTCAGTAACTGGGAAGTGGCCACGGTGCTCCCACTCCCCGGCTGGCACTCGCAGGGGGCATACCAGTGCTCCTGCCAGCCCCACCCCCCATTGCCTAAGCAGAGAGCAGAGCCTGTTAGGGGGTGCACGCCCTACGTGTTGCCACTGATATACTGTGTCACATACGTTTGACTGGAACACTGGTATCGTTAGCAGGTAACTCTGAAACTGTAGACAGTGATGATGGTGTTGATGGTGGATAATCAGAATCCTGTATGTTGAGGTTGGAGCCTTCTGAACAAAAGAAGTCAATGCAGTCACTGTAGTACTGATCATTTAGTATTCCTCATTTCACTCAATACTACTTTTGAAGAAAACTGTAAAAGGAAGATCTGCCTATTTCAGCCATTGTTTTATCTCACAACTGTATTAAAAATATGATAGTTTAATTAAGTAACAGTTATATTTTTGCTCAAACATTTTTATGAGCATTCAAGTAGTCCAGAAACCCATCCAAAAGATATGGACAGGGAAGACAGGCAGATCCTTAAGAAAGAAATATGAAATAAGAAAGTTCACTAACCTGGAGATCCTGCATGTTCAGACATGTTCCATTCATCATCGTCAAAGCAGCTTCCTCCTGAGAAGGAGCACTTCTCATGGCGTTATTTCATTCAGGCAACTATGCCTTGCATTTCTTTGTTGCACTACTTGCATTTTGTATGCATGCCTGTCTTACCCACAGATAGAGGAACTTCATTGAAATATTCCCAAACAGGGTCTCTTTTATGGCCTGGCAAACCTGCTGCCGTGATAGGTTTTCTCTTCTACCATACTGTTCCCGCACTAGAACTCAAATCAATGGAGAGGCTATACTCAGAAGTTTATCCCTCAAGACTCCTGGAATATTCTGCTCAAAATGTTTCTCTTTTGTTTCTGCTGCCCCTCCCTCCAGGCATTTATCACCAGACTCTTCCTCCTTGCTGAGATCTACTCCATCCCCAACAATCCTCTCTTCATTTAACTTCTTGAAACTTTCCACTTTTAGAGAGAGGTAGGGGCTTGACTGTGTGTACACAAACTTGCAGAGAGACAATAGGACTGATGGGTAGGTAGTCAAGTCTGTTATCTCTCATCTCCATGTACTGCTGTTAACAAGGATGTTATCTATGGAGACCCAAATCCACAGTTTGAGAACTGAAACTAAGTATCACAGAGATGTTTAATGCAATCTTTTACACTGAGCACTGAGTCCCATTGGGTAGACTGGTTTTCTTTAATCTTTACTGATCTATAGAGGAGCCTCTGGGAACCCCATAAGATTGGGCCCCTAGTATAGTCCATGGCCTGTTGTGACCTATTTATAAAACTTTACTAAAAAGGTTACATAAATATATTGTCTCATGTATATGAATATAAAGATTACATGGATGTTTTGTTTCATGTTGTTATAGTATATAATTAGAAATTTTAACCCCCATTCCATGATCATATCTTTGAAGTTCAACAAATTTTAAATTAAAACTATCTTTATATAGGGTTATTTAAAAAAATGCATCTTAACAAACAAATAAAATAAGTAAAAAATCAGATAAAAATAAAAAAATCTGATATTTTTTATTAAAAGAAATTGTTGATTCTTATCTACCCTATGAGAAATTCTTCTTGCAGTATTTTTTTAGCTGCATAGCTAGTCTTCCTAGAGATAAACGATTGCTGTTTGATGGTTTCTTTCTCTAAAAGATTTCATAGGATTTTGTCTAATCCAGTCTAGTCCCTACTAAATCTTTCTGAAGTCTATTACTGTGTAGGAAACTACAGTATGATGCAGAGATGCCTAGGCTAGCCTACATACTGGAAGTAGCCTAGCTATAGGAACCCTGAACTTTATGTGTCTTCATTTACCTTCCTTCTCAGCTGAGTCCTGGGCTGCCATGGCCAGACTGCATCAGATACTTGAGTTGGCCTAATAAAAATTGGCACGGCTACCTCTACATTATCCCATAGAGGGTGGTGTTCCATGACTGAACAAAACTAATTCATAGGTTGGTCTATGCTGCAGCAGTGGTATCAGTGGTATATTTTTGCCTTTCGAGTCATTTACAAGCCTTGCTGACTTGGCCTGAAAATGGTCAAGACCCTATGCATACTTGAAGATGGAGCAAGACATGGAGCTGTTGGCTTTGATTGGGTGAATGTATGGCAAGAAGTCCAGCATCTCCTTCTCCAAAGAGCATTCTTGGGACCCTGGTCTGTATCCATACACATCTTATACAAGTCTGTTGTACACTCCATGCTGCTGTTACAGAGGGAAAATAATCGGAATAAGGATGAAGACACCTCTGCTTTAAGCAGTCTAGAAAAGATGCCTTCCAATGAGGGGCCTTCAGGGAAGGGGGAGAAGGGGATGGGGTGTTGCAGGTCTCCTCCCCTACCTGCTTAGTGATGACAATGCTGCTTTCTGGGTACTTGAACTAAGATTACTTTAGCTGCCTGTCAGTCAGCCAAGGAAAACCAGTGCCTTCCTTTTCTCCAAACCTAAGGGATTTTCCTGCTTATATTAAGAACATTTCTATGTCCCACAGTACCCAGTTGGGGAAGGACAGAAACCTCCTGTGCAAGAGAGAGCTTACGTAAGAGTCAAGTGTGGGGGTACTCTTTCAGCCTCCACCCTCATGAAATGCAGCTCACAGTAGACTGCATGGGCAGACAGTCAAAGCTGTAGCATGCATGCTTTCTGGGTTTCTTGATCTTAGCTTCTCCTCTGTGGGGCCCAGAAACTCATGGCCTGTGCTAGACTCATGCCTTATACTTTCTTTCCTAGGGGTGGGCAATTATTTGGGCTGGACGGCCTGACCCAGCTGCATGCTGGGGACTTGGGGCAGGGGAGGGGGTACAGGGAGAAGAGGGGAACACAGAG